ATCTACGATGTTATTAAACTTAAATACTTGTAAAATTGTTAAAATGATCCGTATATTAAATAAAAGTTAATTTAAATTAGTTTAAAAATAATAAAAATAATAAAAATATGAATGTAATATCTAATAAGTAATATTAGCTGTATTAAATTCAGAGTCAGCACAATGATCGATAGTGTATTTAAGATTCTGAGCGGAGACCCACAACGGAGTTAGTTGATGAATTGTTTTTGTTTGGATTAGTTGTTTTTAATAATATATAACTTAAGCAGGATAACCTTTTATTAATCATTTCAAGTTCCATAAAACAATTAATGTAATTCAAATTCCAATTGAATCCTTTCTGTATAATATATTATACTATAATGTAAAGGAATAGACCACATAATATTATACGTGTATAAAGTAATAATAAAAATAATAGTACTTAAAATGTTTGATTTTGTGTTGAATTAAAAAAAGTCTAGAAAATACAATTCTCAATTAAATGAAGTTCATATCATAATATAATCTTTAGGTACTACAGACGTATAGACTAAATAATATTTTACTTAAACAATTGGGTTAGACTTTATTTGTGCAACGCAAAATAAACAAAATTTCAATTTTTTTTCTCGAGTAAGTATTTTTGGCATTAATGGATTTATAATTGTATGTAATCGTTCACCTGCTATGTTCCATGTCTAACATTACTGAACAGTTAACCCCATATAATTTCAATGATAGTATACATTTACCAATAGTAAAATACCAGTAAACAGGATAATTTCTATTATTGAATAAATATTACCTTTCATGTTTATTCAGAAGTGCTTAAAATGTAAGTAGTTGTGAGTTATTTGTTATTAATGGTGTCATAAGGTTAATGGTTATAATATATATATATATATATATATATATATATCGATAATCATTCGAATAAAAACGTTTGATAACAAAATTATCTATAATATAATAGGGCGGCTAGTACCAGCCATAACGTTATTATAAAATAATATTGTAATTGAGTGACAGCGAACATAGATATTACATAATGTAAAATGTTACACATGACCAAACCTTTACTCTGCGTCTCAGGCTGGTACCTATGACGGCAGTTGGCTGAATCTGTGACCTAGTGATATTGAAGGGTGGTAGATAGGTGGTTGACTTTAAAATTTAACTCTGTCCGGAATGTGCTACCAGTCACATGAAAATGGCCGATATCCGCCATAACGCACTGCTGGGTGAATTTATGCATAATGCGGACAGTGAGCACCCAAGACAGTGGCTTAATTAGGGTGGGCAGGGTGGGCATTTGCCACACAACTTGTCATAAGCGGTTCGCTGTCGGCCTGGTATGGGTTAGTTTTTTACCTTCATATTGTAACTAATAGGTAATATATTTAAGTATCCCGCGACATATGTAATAATTATTTAGTCATAGTTATCTCTAAAAAATGTGTTATTTATGCCTATGATAGTAACCTATGATATGCTAACTAGTAAGTATAAAATTATGTAAGAAGGCAATTTGTTTTGAGATTAGATAAAAATGGTATTGTAATGTAATGTAATATAACTATTAGCTAGCGGTTTTTTTTTCACTTTTATTCCGGGCCGGTCAAAAAGTTCCCCCCTCTAAAAAATTAAATGACACCACTTGTCCGTGGTTGAAAATCGAGGACTCATTCGATAGCACGACTACGGCTTCCAGTCGTCATTGCGACCTATGATGGTAGGCTATAAGTACAAGTTTCATACTACGGTGGTAAGACTAGGCTGCTTAGTGCGTTCAACTTAGTTCGAACTCTTTGATTCCAAGCCCTTACGAAGCCCTTACCAAGCCCTTCCAAGAAGATACCCGCCATGAAGACGCCATAATGGAAACATAACGTTCTATTGAAACAGACAAGACATTTCAGACCGATTTATTTTACTTATCGTTTCATTACCTATTTATAACATTCTTGATATGGCAATAGAGAGTTACATTAAATTAAATTATTTGAAAAAAAAATAAGAGAAAATATACTTATATTGTATGATTTTCTAAAGTTGTAAGAATCCCATGACCGCCATAAATTGTCCTATTGGTAATGATAACTAATATACATATGTTATCCAGCGCGAGCTAAGTAAAAAAAAAAATAATAACTGCATGACGGTGTGCGTATTGTATATCGAAGCAGGAGTCACTATTTAAACTGTGTAAAATACAGGTAAGTTTGTTATACGACATAACTAATTGTATGATATATCAATTAACTCCTAGTAAACTCCAAGTTATTAGAAATGTTGTGTAGAATGTGCTTTTGTAACAATCATCAGGTTTAGAAATTAATTTATAGATGAAAAAGTGCAAACTTTTTAATGGAAATTTATATTAAATTCAGAATCACATTGGCCACCATCGTCACATCAGCGTTGCCAATGTTTGTTATCTAGTCATTGGAGAAAATATGACAAAATTATACCGTACTATAATTAACATTACCGTTGTTCTAGATTATTGTGTAAATACCCAATATGTACTCAGTATTTTGTATTTACAAAAACAATTATTTTCTGTACTTATTTATAAATAAAAATATAGATACATTATCATAATTTGCATTGATGATAAAAATTGGTGATATCACAACAAAAATCCTTCGAAAAATGGCAAAGTAAAAAAAATATAAGATCTTTAAGGACTATAAAGATGTGATATCATGAATAAATGATAAGTATATTGAATTTAAGTAAACCTATTTTGTTTCATTAATTTATTTACTTGAAGAGGAATTATTAAGAATAGTGTATAAATATTAATAATAATATTTTTAAAATAATAATAAGTTATATTTGAATAGTCCTTAAATATTTTTAAATTACACAAAAAACCTAAAATTTTTATATTGTTTTTTCATAAATATCAAATTTTGATTTAACTTGAACTTATAATATCTATAAAAAAAAAAAATAATAAATTATATTATGTAAATTTTCACATTCAAATACTTGACCCTCTGGTAAACTTTTTATTTTTAAGATTTGAAACCTATTGAGACATTTTGTGTTAAATTTTGAATAGAAAATTGTTTATGTATTTCTAACTCAAAATAATTTGCACATTTTCGTGATTTTGACGAATTTTTGTCGAAATTCTAATTTAAGACTTTCATAAAAAAATATTGTGAATTTAAGAAACAACTTTTTTTTTTATTTCCACTAACAGAAATTTACGAGAAACCTTGAATACAATTTTTTGAATTTTTTGACTTAGCGAAAACATTTTATCGACAATATTAAAAAAAAATAATAAAAATTAAAATGTTTGTATGCCTGAAATACTCTAAAAATAGTCAAAATAATATAAATTCTGTTAACTAACCTTAGTACCTATTAAGGCTATTATTTGTTATAATATATTTTTCCAATATTCAGTTGAATATTATGAATACGTATATTATGTAGATACCTAAAATATGAAAACTAATATTTTTAGTTGCAGAGTGTATTCTGTAAAGACTAAAGACAAGCAATAATTGATAGTGTTTCTATAATAGGTATAATTTAATGTATAATATATTATAATGTATTTTTTTTCATAATCTGTTGTACAATGTTAAAAATAAATATTAAAATACTATATTTATTTTTTGAATGATTTAAAATTGTTTTCATAATGATGTTAACAAATGCAGCCTTTTTAAAAAAAAGCGCTCTTCATGCCGCCGTACGACACCTTCGCCTTATGAGTTATGAGAGTATAGTAACCTTACATGACCTTATACCTGTCGTTCAGTGATACACCTTTATCGAAACTAGAATTACCAAAATACCATAAATTAACCGGTTACCGATCAGATTGATATAAACAAACACAAAATTAACAATCAAACGTATCTCGCAGTATTGACATACCACGACTGCCCTCACTTACTATTCTTTTCGCCTTATATATATTTTACAATTTAGCTTCCTCAACACATTTGCTTCCCTCGCCTACTCTAAAAATATAATTATTATTTTGTTTATATACATAGTCACCTATTACTACATACCTTAGTCACCAAAATGAGAGTTTTAATATAATTTATTATATTATAAGTATTTACAGCTGGTTTCGGTATTTAATCATTCGGCGATCTGACCTTTTTCAAACTAGTTTTAAGTCTACACATACCTAAACGTAAGGCAATTGTAAATAACGCAAATTTATTGGTAGTGGATTTTAGAGTTGGATTTATAACATGCAAATTCCACCGGTACCTATCTTTCACCTGAAACACTATTGATGATAAAGAATTCTCTATTAAATGCATAATGTTAATTTTATTAGCGGTGGAAAAAACGGTTTGATGTATATTTATTTTTAAGGTAGGTACCTAGTAAAAATGTAGCATCAGAGTTTACATGAAAAAAGGTCAAAACCGGTGAAATGTATATGCGCCACCCACAAACACTTAACATATATTTACGCCACATAGTTTATTAGTTTTTACACGACAAACATAACTAATCCTAACATTGCTAAGACACTACTATACACAATATTACTCATGTACATTACACTTTAAGGTTAGTCAGTAGGACGAGTTAAGCGATAACAAACAAAACATTAGGTACCTAACCATGATCGTGGTTATATAATACTTCCCCAGTTCAAACAGTATTATACAACATATTAGTTTTTAAGGAACTACTAAAAGTTCCATTTTATATAGAACTCAAATACAAATAAAATATGTTTTTAATTTTATTTTAAAATAATTTTATAACTTCAAATACTAAGCGTGAATATTTCTTTATTAAGTAATTTATAAAATACAATGTGTGGAAATGATAATCAACATTAAAAGCAAAATACCCATGATCCCTAATTTTATGGAAAATTAAAAGGTTTTCGTTAGTCTATTACTTATTAAAAACATTAATTAAAGAAAAATTATTTGTTTTTTTTTTTTTTTTTTTGAAAGTTATTATTTAAAAAATTTGAATCAGGGCAATAAATTGTTCATGAAAAAACGTACAGCCCATCAACCCGTCTTCCAGTAATATCTAGACCCTGAAAATGTCAGTTGTGTTGAGTTTTTATCTTCCGATGTCGAGCGCCGATGTCTTGGATTGTCTCTGGGTTTGTTCAACCGCAACAACATTGATCCTTTGAGGGGCGTTGCCTCGGAATAAAACATCATGCGTGACAAGCCTTCACACGATGTGGTACCGCTAACCGCCATCATGTTCATCACGTAGTTCGTCATCTTGTACAACTTTTGTGTATGTCAGAACAAGATAAATAGAAACCAATTAATCAACGTAAACATAATACTTTGTGAGTAAGCTCAAGTTATAGGGAAGCACTTATCTGTGGTAAAAAGGAATAATTTTGTCATCATCTAAAAACTACATAGTGGTTACAGGTTACTTTGTAAGGTCGGGAAAAAATTTTAATTTCAGAACGCGGACACGTTGTACTATTATATAGTGCATTATATATAAAGCATATATATTGTATATATAACTTATATACCTAAGTAGTAAGAACATATTATAATGTCAATTATTAAAATGTAAAAATTAAAAATTATATAAAAAGTAAATCACAAATTGTTTAAAATATAGTATAACAATAGTTAAAATAATCAAAGTTTTTTTAGCTAACAGGTTAAATAACAGCTGAATACTCTTTGGTACTATAATATATTTAAAAATTAATTTATTAACTTGATGACCTAATTAAATATAATTTTATGTGTATAATAGTACTAAATGTCCATGTTCTGCAATCTAAAATTTGGCTGACCATACAAAGTGTCCGCGTTACGCATTTTAAACAATGGGCAGTACAAACTACAAAGTGACTTTTTACTCTACATCGTTCGTACTTTTAAGTACAAATGTATACTCATTTTTATAGTACACTGACATATAAATTGTTTTTAGTGCCTAATGAAATGTACTGTTCTAAAATAATTAACATAGACTAAATGCGATACCTAGTGTATAACTGCAAATATTGGCAAATCCAATTGTCAAGAATCACTTTTTTTAATTAGAACAATAATAGGAATTAGAAAAAAATTGAATTGGGAGCCACAGCACATACTCATATAATATGTTTAGATAAGACATGTGAGGTATATATTATTATACCTTATATTATTACAATTATATACAAATATAGGTATTATACTGATTATTTTAAAATCCAAAGTACAAAACTATTAATATAATTTTCATTAAGTCTCGATGAAGCTATATACTCTGTTTCAAATAAGCGAGTAACCTCAAGAGGCTACATATTTTGTCAAGTTCTGTAACACTACTATACCAATTATGTTACATAACACCAATGTTTAGATGGCATTTTACGGCTGTACTTTCTATATCTACTGCATAATAAAGCAAACCTATTTCCGCGGCGTCCAGCCGACTGAGGTTACAATTATTTGAGGCAGAGTATAAATAGTAATGAGAACCCGAAAACATATTATTATCTAAATTGATTATGATAATATGGAATTGAAAAAAAAATGGAATGATATATTTTCAGTTAGTTTAACAATAAATACAAATATGTTTTCAGATGCACTGGTTGGAAAACCCAATATTATTGTAGGCACAATATACTTACGACACATCTGGTCTGGTGTTTGCCCTCTGGTTTGAGGACATGGCCGTTTAGACTGTACACTTTTCCATTGTCGAAGTCTAGTGGTGGCCTGGCTGATTGTGATTTACAGGAAAACACCAACTGGTCCACATCTGCATAGTCGCCTAACGACAGAATAATCATAAGGCTTGAGCTCGATGAAAGTGGTATGGTATATTTTCAAATCATATTACTACATTATAATTCATATAGTGATGAGTGGAGGTCTTACGTCTTATCCCTCAATGAATAATCATCAGACAATTTATCATATTAATGTGTTCAGTAGTTACGTGTAGTCAGATTGTGGTTGTCTAGGGTAGATGAGATAGGTATAAATTATTAGGTGCAAAAAAATTGTTATGCTTATTTTTTATGAGGTTTTTCAATTCTTTCTTATTTAAAATATAATTATAAGAGAACAAGATTCTTAAGAGAACGTTACACCCGCAAGCATTGTCTCCATCTTACAAATAAGCAAAAGAAAAAAACGAAATGTTTGGAAGCAAATAACATTTATTGTATTTATGTTATCTAAAATATAGATACTGTTGCATAGATATTTTTCCACCCTGTATGTTCAGAAATTTTGAAACCTCTACTACAAACACAGAAAGATAAAAGTTGTCCCGCGCAAAACAGTTTTTGGTATGCTGTACATTTGTAAGAAGGAAACAACACATACAGATGTGACGTCCTCTTAATATATAAATATTTTTTTCTATCATACTATGTAGGTATTATTTTTTTCAAATTCAACATAAATTATTTCAGTTTTTAACGAAAATGGATAGAAATAAATACATTTCAATTTGTGTGATAATTATTATTATTATTTTTTTTTTAAGATACGTAAAAAAGTTAGAAAAAGTAACACCAACAAGAATTATTGTACCTAGGCTCGCTTTATATATAACAAAGTGACATACCTATTTACCTATATTATAAAATTATAGTATTTTTTTCCAATAAATGATCCTGCCTAGGCAATATGAATTGTAAATGAAATAATTAACAATATATTTAATGTGCATATGCTATATTCAGAATAGATGCATGTTATTTTGGAGTAGCTTTTTTGGAGTCACAGAAAAAGTGCAATATATTGTACTATGGAAAAATAATAAATCGATTAAAGTAACTGACACACAAACACCGTTATTGAAGCTACCAAACTTCAAGCTGAATACTTTCATTTCGTTAGAGTCATGACGAGATCTGAATTTGAGTGAAGCACAACCTTTAACCGTTGACGAATCTTCACCATTGAAGATCACATCAAAATCTGCCGTTACGTTTGGTGGACATCTGCTATGGATAGTTGGAATCACTATAACACATATATCAAATCAAATATGGTTTGTGTTTATAATTGATAAATAGCGTTATAATAATAATTATTATTATTATTTGTACTATTATAATTGGGTATGTAATTAAAAATAATAATATAATGGATAAATGAAGAAATAACAATAATAATGAATATAAATTTATATTTAAAATGAAAATAATATTTATCTGAAATCCGAAAAATTTAAACGAATCGTTCATAAAATATAATAATAGTTAGTGGTGTAAATTTGTATAGTAAAAATGTATAATATCGTATGATATTATACATGCTGAACAGAATTATTTTATACAATGGTATAAAATCTGTGTTAAAATTTTTTTTAGCTAAGTAGTTAAACTGTTTGAAGGAAATTATTAAGAAACATGACAAATATAATTTTTTGTCAAATTTAAATATGTATTTATTATTTACAAACAAAAAAGTATAAATTATTTTATTTTATATTAAACAGTTATTACTAATTTTACTTATTATTTAAAAAGGAAACTAAAAGACTAAAGTGTTAAAATTGTTAATATTAACTATTAATAATTACTATTGTTACTTTTTTGACATTAAACATTTATTTTATTTATTATTTAGAAAAAAAAAAACCAAAAGAGTCATTTATGTTTATTCAAATTGTTATTTGTTATTTACTTGTTGACTTTGTTATTACTTTTTTTAAATTTATATTATTTTTCTTATTTGTATTAAAAAGATTCAATTTTCAAATTGGAAATGGACAATGGTTGAGTAACCAAGTTAAAATTGTATATGTAATTTCAAAATCGCATATCTTTTAAAACAGGATTTTATACCGTATAAAATGTGTATAATACGGAATAATACAAATAAATATTATACCATACTTAAATACAAAATTATTATGCAAAGTTCAATACAAGTATAATACAAAAAAAAAATAAAATACCTTATTTTAACATCACTAATAATTGTTATATGCCGAGTGATATTAGAAGTTCAATTTAACGAGTAACGAGATGAGAAATTTCATGCCGGTACTTACCTTCCATATAATCAACGGTAAGTCCAGAGAAGGTTGCCCCATTGGTAATAGTTACATTTGCGATGATCGTCATAATCACTACTACAGTAAATATCTTCATTATTGCGTTGCTTTTTGTAAAATATACGAGAGTAAATCGATGAAGTCGAAAAAACGATCAGCAAAATATTAAAATATCTGGATGGGCGAGAGAAACGAGACGGGAAGACAGGTAAGCCGATGAACTGTAAGAAGTGGGTACACGGATCGCACAGTGCTAGCGAGACACTCTTCGCGAACTTTTTTTATAAGCCGCATATCGGCGGTGGTTGTAGTGGTGGTCGTCCCCTCTGCCAGTTGCTTAATACATAATATTATCTGACGTATCACAGGCTTGCATCGACCAATACTCCCGCCTACCAAATAGCTTATATTACAGTAATATAGTAAAGTAATGTGTCTATCCGTATCTAACAGCAGTGCCAGCCCGTGGGTGGGGTGAGAAGGGTGGATGCGCAACATAGTTTTACGATGCGGGGTCATATTATATAATATATATATCGATCATTGCTGAAAACAAAACAACAGACTTTTTTAACGAGTGTAAAAACATTGTTTTAAAGTTTAAACGCATTTTTTATTGTTTAAAATGATTTTTTTCGATTACATGGTTTAAACTATACTCAGCTTTTTTAATAACCCCTTGTTTACTTTAGGACTGTAATATCTGTAGAATTAATATAACAAAAAAAAATTATAACACCTTGTTAGTTTGAATTATAAAAAGAAATAAAACAGGTTTTAAAAGTTTTAAACATTCATGTTTAACGAATCTACGTGTTTAAACATATTTTTTAAAACATTTTACGATCTCTTGTGAAGTTGAGGAACGATAGAATACTATGCCTCAACGACGACTCACGAGTCTTGCTACAATTCACATTAAAACGGAATAATTAGAAGTTAGAACAGTGGAACTACGTAGAAATTACAAATGACTTTATTGCTTCTACGAAAGAGAGAAAGAAATTTCATTTTATTTTTCCTGTAGTTCCGCAGCATTATACCAAATTTATTAGCCTTACAAAATTATGTGTACATAAAAATATAACGAATATGCTATCGTAAATTCGTACCTATAACGCATTGTATATTATAAAATATATATGCAATAACCTTGTTGATAATTCAATCTTATACTATTTTCATTTAAAACTTATTTACGAAAAGTGACCGTAGGTATACAAACAAATAATAGGTAATAACAGTCTTTTGCTTTTAATAAAAAATTATATTTCTTTAAAATTTGAAAGTTTTAGGATTTATAGTGAAAAACCCAAAAACTTTATTGGTAACTCTTATATGTTTTTCATATGTTTACATTTTTTTGGAGCTAAATCCTATTTTTCATTTTATTTGACTGGGCTATTAATGGGCTTCTAATTTGATTTTTTTTTTTATCTCTCATGTTAAAATGTTAAGTACCTATACCTGCAATATGGATATTATAAAAATATAGTCCACCTTTATTCAAAATCAAGCTTGAACAAGTTAATTACAATTTGTGTTTTAATTAAATAAAGTTTTTGAAAAATATTATTAAAACATTTTAGTTAGTAGTTATACAAATTTATTTTTCAACTCAGTTAAGTTAAAAGTTATATGGAAACTTACAATCAACTTATTAAGAATACGATTGGTATTATATTTATTATGTAATTAGGTACGTATAAACTGTAGTAAATTGGATTTGTTGAACTATCGTTACTTATTAAGTTTATATCAATTCAAATCGTTTAGTTTAAATATTAGGTTAATGAAAATTTAATTTGAAAAAACTATTTATAAAGTTAAAATAAACTAGGTTTTTACTCGTTTATGCCTTGCTTATGCCCGTAAGCTTGGACTATACATGGATGGATATATTATGAATATAGAATAATTCATAATTTATAAATGTAGACATATATGTCTATATGTGTGTCGGTAGGTAGGTGGTTTCTTACATTATTATAATATATATAACACTTAATTATTTAATGATAATATCAACTTTTGAAACACTACCAGCTTTAATTACATAGATACATTATATTATTAAATACACGCAGTACGACTCCTCCCCTCCCACACACAATCATAAATCGCCGGTCGTTCACGTTCGTGAACTTAGCGGCAATCATGTAACAGATTTCAATTAAACCTATCCAACAATTTTTTTGAAAAGGTTTCACAATTTTTTTGGACCGTCATTAAAAAGTTATAAACATTTATCCAAAACCACCGCTAAGTTCACACTAACGGCCAACATTAAAGCACACACATAAAAAACTATACGTAATTGTTCTCCACGGTTTGTAGGACATTGTTGGAACTCCCCAATCGGAAATCAACAACGGGCGCAACACTGCGTCACTACCGACTTATACTGACACGTTACTGGTAGTCAGTGTTGGCCCAGTGCTGGTAAATGTCTGGGATGATAACACCGTTCAGTACTGGTATATCAGTAATGGGTCAGTACTTATGGTCGGTACTTTCTTTTAGTACTGCTATAGTACTGGCAATACTACTGGTACAGTACTAATTTATATTACTGGCGCAATGCTGGTATATGTCTGGGATGATAACACCGTCCTGTAATGGTATACCAGTAATATTATGCACCAGTACTTGTTTTTAGTACTGGAGTATTTGGTTTTAGTACTATTATAGTACTGGTAGTACTGCTGGCACAGTACTAATTTACATTACTGGCGCAATGCTGGTATATGTCTGCCATCTGGGATGATGACACCGTTCTGTACTTGTATACCAGTAAAACCTAACAAATAGATTAGCAACCTAATATTTGGTATATCAATTATACCTCTTTATGTAATAAAAATACACTAGAAATTATTAACTCATTATAACTATTACTACTGCTTTACAAACAATTAAAAACAAAGTATATGATTCAATTATAGATCATAATTTATTATATAATATTATTTTGTTTTGTCCCTTACAACAAATAAAAACATTTACATTAAATTTATTTGATTTCACTTATTTTAATTTTTTTTAACAATCTTTCTTTTTTGCCGCCTTCTCTATCCTTAGCTCCTGAAAACCAGCGACTCATTTGGCTGGCAATTTCCTTACTTTTAACATCCTCAAACTTTGTTGTAAGTGATTCTAAAAAAAAATATACATATTATACTTAAAAATAATAATAGATTTTATATTTTGTTTATAATTAATGTGATCTTATACCTAGCAAGTGTTTGTAGGTTTCCGTTGTAGAGAAATTTAACTTCCTTATCCCATTAGTTTCTCTTCCGAATGCACTGTAGAGCACTTGAACACTTTTTGCCATGATTTGCGGGATAACAACCGTCAAATTGTCGGATAATTTAACCGAACCTTTGATGTTAATCGCCATGAAACATTTCTAAAAAAATAAATAAAAAGATAAATATTTAATAGAAATTAAATGACATAAACTGAACAATCTAATCTAATTTGAAATAAATCTTACTAGTTTTTTTATCAACTCTACGTCAGTTTTCAACTGTTCATCAAAAACTTGGAATGATTCCAAATTCAATTTGGGAAGGCCAATTATATTATCATCTTGCATAATTTTTCCTATGAAATCATTATTACTATTTGTGGAAATTAACGTCCTAGTAAGTTTAGCTTCTTCTCTTATTGAGTATAGGATGCTTCTCTTGGCCGATTCTATATTTGATTGTATTACTGAAGATTCTGTAGCTGAAATAGTTAGAATAACGTACATTTATTAAAACTTGGTAGTGATCAGTAGTATACAAATCATTTTTTTTTATGATATTTTGTCAAACAATTTAATAAGAATATCAAGGTATTGACCTGTATGAAATTATTTTAATGTATCACCTATCTTATTAATGTATAGACTGTAATAAATCATTTTTTAACTCTAGAAAAATCAATGCATATTTTTAGATTAGAGAATATACCTAATATATTATAAGAAAAAAAAAAAATATTTTTTATTTTTATTTCCTTTTGGTTACTTGATAATGATTCAAAGTTAGAGCTAGTCATTTTAGTATTCATTATTTTTATGATTTGATTTTATGTAACTAAATGACTCATTATCTTTATACACATATTTAAATTTTTGAACAAATACATTTTATTTCATAATCATATTTAAATTTTGATAAAATTACCTGCTGCACCACATGTCGGACAATGATTTCCTTGAATATGTATTTTTTTGCCTATAACATAAAATTATAATTAAAATACTACTGGCTTTTTTTTGTTTTGTTTTTATTACCTACCTATTATGTTACTGCTTGTTGGCTGGACTTTTTCTGGCTGTCTAATATTGCTTTTACTTTGGATGTTAGTTATCGCTACTTTCTCAGGTGGTATAATAAAGCTAGTTTGGTGTTTCTCTGAAACCCATAATGTGTTACAATTATTTATAAACCTAATTGTACTACGTTTTTTTTTAAATAACGCCCAATTGTAAGTAATATAAATTTTGATACAAAAACAAATAAATTTAATTTGTAGTTTTAAAATATCAGTTTTGTAGAACACTGTAATTTACTTTTAAGTTTTTTGATGGATCTCTTTTCATTTGATGACGATGAAGATGATGATAAATTACATTCAGAATTGGAGTGTTCTTGTGATACTTCTGACTGAGAACCATCTTTGTAATCTGTTTTAAAGATTATTATGTATTTTATTATTATTATTATATATATTAATATATTTAAAATTATTTTTTTAAACTTATATTAATTAAAATGAATTATGTACCGTCTTTGACACTCCCAGGCCTAAAATTTATTTTACTTCCACTAAAACAAGAAACATCATTTAAGCATGCTTTTAAATCTTTTTCGTTTAACTGTTTAGGACCTTCCTCTTCTTCCGAGCTGTTAGCAAGTTCTTCAACACTACTCTGAACTACAGAGTCAGAAAATGCTTTTTTCATTCTCCTGAGTCCTTGACTATAACTATCTAAAACATACATTTTTAATTAACTTTATGTTTTTAAACTCACAATAATTAAATTAGAAAATATACATATTTAAATCTTAAATTAATTACTTACAAGCTTTCTTAACTATAGTAACCTTGAAATCATTCCATGATGGGTCACATGCCGTGGACTGTTTGCATAACTCGTCTATTTTATGATATTCGTTTTGATTTGGATATTTAGAATACATTTGTCCATTTTTATTATAACTCCATGAAATAGGTACTAGATCTATGGTGTCTTTTCCCTGCTTATTTTTTTCATTGAATTTAATGATACAATGGGTGACATCATTTTTATAATAGTCCATAGTACTCTATAACAGAGATGAGAATATATTATTTTCAGTTATACTACACTTATATTAGGTACATTTCTTTACACATATACACATATTGTTACAAAAAGATTTTTTCCTTATTACTAATTCATTAAAAGTGAATGACATATATTATGTTTTTGTCTTATGATAACTATTAGAAAACAATATTTTTCTTTAAAAATAAAATAATTATAAATCATGGAGAAGTGTGACTGTGAATGTTTCACTTTCATTTTCAAATAAAACACACTTTTTGTCAATATTATCCAAAGAGAAAATCCTCTCCCTTCTAGACAATTGTCCTAGCTTTTCAATTCCGATTTTTGATGATTCACAGGGGAACTTGAAAACATTGCTCACAGTTTTGAATGTAAAACCATAAAAATTAATATTCTGTTCCCCTTCTCTGATATTTGAAATAGATAGGATTTCACCAGAATCTAATTTGACAATATTATTTGGTCTCGATGTACTAAATTCAACTCCACGTAAAGTTACACTCTTTAAACTGATTTCATTCTCATGTTCATGATTAATAATGAGGGACTGTTTTTTATTTATAGCATTTTTTTTTACGGTTTCCATGCATGCTTTTTGTTCAGATACTCTTCGAACCAATTGGGCAAGAGAATTATTTCTTCCTTTAATAAGCCTTTTAATTTTACCCAAATAGTTTTCAAAGGTAAATGCCGAAATTGCTGATAGATTTGTCTCGGCGTGTTCTACGTCATCTGCCAAATGAATTAAATTATGACTATTCATGATTTGAGAGTCTGAACCATAAAACGACGGGAGAAGCTCAAAAAATTTTCTTAACAACTCAATTGCATAATTGGCATGGCTAATACATAATTTAGGGTCATTAAGAATTCGACATGCAACTACTAAGAGTAAAAAATGTTGGTACATTTTTTTTGGTAGAATGTCATACAGAACCAGTGACCCACAGTAGAGTAAGAAAAAACGAAACTGCGTAGCTTTCCAGTGTTTCCATTCATTTAAATCATACTTTTTTCTCTGGAATTCTTTTGGTACAAACCTTGTGATTACCTTTAAATTTGAATTTAAACGTTGTATATTGCACCGAGAAAGCCTGCACCTACGATTAACCTTTTTTGTAGTTCCAAGCCATTGCTGCAATAACCATTTCATTATACCCAAGTACAATAAATGCATCGAATCTAAGAAGACAGATTTGATAGGATCAAAGTCTGGAATGTCTAACAATAGTGATCTGAATTCCAAATGATGCTCTTTTTGACTCTGTATTGTAAACGACCTTTTGGTGCGAAGTCTAGAATTCATGCTAGGATATACTCTTTTTTTGTTATTTGTTTTTCCTCTAGTTTCACACCGCTCACATGCATAAAACCCTCCATGGCCCTTACACTGTTTTAAAAATGATCTTGCTGGTGTGTCACAAGAAAATCCAACGATTTCTATTTCAAACTTTTTTTGATTAATCATTAATCCATTGAGAACTAATGTTTTTATTTCTTCTATAAATTCCATTAAAAAGTCATTTACATTTTGCGGTTTAGAATCACCACTGTATACAGCAATAATAAATGGTTTTAATTCATACTGATCATGAAGTATAAGTCCTAAGATAGGCCAAAATTGTTGATTTGAGTTATTATATAATGGTAAGCCATCAATATTAAACAGTAACCGAATACTGTTCTCAGTATATGTGTCAGTAACAATTGTTTTCAATCCTTCTCCTACACCAAAATATGCATAAGACCCATTTGTGTTCTTCAAGCTTTTCATTATTTTAATATCAATATATGATTTACTTTTAAGTAACCCAGCTGCAGATTTTGGTAAGTTATTATAACAATTTTCAGTCCGTAAAATCTTGAGCAAATCTTCAATCAACTCAATAGTCATATTACTTCTATGTCTTACAGCCCAGTTTTGTAGTTTTTCACGGAAAGTAGGTACTGTAGAAGTTACATTTGGGTTATGATCTAAGGAGCTACAATTAGGTGATCTATTTGAGAAGTTTAAAGATGAAATTGATCTGAAATTAGATGATGTACTTGAGTAGTCGAAAGATGAATTTGATAAGTAATCCAAATGACCATCAAAATCATGATTACTGGAATTTGTGGGTCATTTATCATATTGCAAATTATGTCAACTCCCATAGACACATCAATATCCATAGATAAGTTTGAATTTAATTCATTTTGTTCAACCCGGGGTTCAACCTCTGGTTCATCATTTGATTGTTGAGCCAATTTTTTTAGCTGTCTATGTTTTTTAAGTCGATCGTATGCAGAACACATTTTTGATTTAAGTATCTACACTAAATAATAAAATTGGCAATTTTAATACTGAATTTTAAATGGAGTTTGATTTTATAGATACTTAATATATAGATATATATATAATATTTTATTTTATCACCTACCGGAGTATTATAATAATTTTTTTTTATTTATACAAAATGAGTAAATATTTTACCACATTAAGAAATGTAGGTATCAAAGTTGCCCAAAATGTTGTTTATCTTTGTTAGCATTTTAAAAAACATTAATAGGTATCTCAGAAGAAAATTTACTGTTGTAGGTAATGTTGAAAATGAATTAAAACAATAAATATTGAGCATAATTAATTGTAAATTTGAGATTGAAATTTAATTAAGCGATTTTTATCATTATTCTCACATATTAAAATTGTAATTATGTCAATGCTTTAAGAAATATCTATTTTGCAAATTTAAGATCTCAATGGTTTGTGCATGCTTCTTACTATCTGATTCTCAAATAATGTTTAAATTTAAATTCATTAAATGAGACTAGTAGTTATCTTAGGTTTTTGTAAGTAACTTGATTAATTGTAATTATTTAAAAACATTATATTGCAAGTCATTACCAACACTAAGAAAAAAAGAAGATTTAACTTAACTTTTGTCCTACAAAAAAGTGGTGGGGCGACAAATCCATTAGGAGGTATATATCATTATAATAAACAAGTACCAAATAAACAATAATTATAATTTAGTATGTGATATAGGTAGGTATTGTGATAATAATATAAAGAATAAAATATAAAATGGTAAATGACTAACCGCGTTTGGAAAATCTACACCTTCAAATATTATTAAAAATGTACCCTACATCTCTTACTGTTTCCAACAGGCTTCAATTTTATAAAATTTTCTCTAAATTATTTTTAGGCAGGTATAATTTAAGCGAGAATTTAAGTAAGACTATTTAATATGGAATTTGAAGACTGGTGTAAATTACTGGTGTCATAGAAAAATAATGCTCACAGCTAATCAAATAAAATTAATTGATATGTAAGCCAAATTAGTAATAGCATTTATTATACATAGTATGTATAATCAATGGTAATAGTGTTAAGAATAATTATACAGAACAAAAGCTATAAGTATTTTGACCACAGTAAATAATAATGTGAATGTTATTAAATAAAATTAATATGATTACAACCTAAAGTAAACAAATAATTAATAAATAATGACAAATCATATTTTGAGCACATATTTTTAAACATTTCTAATGATTTCTAAAGGTGCACCGATTTCCAACACAACAGTGGGTTATCTCTACCTATATTATAATTATTTAATAATAATAATGAAAGGTACTCCTAATAATTGGTACTCCTAATTCAAACTTTGTGTCAAGGAAACGGTTATACAATAAGGTACAAAAATACACTTTCCTACAAGCTACCTAGGTATTCACAACCGTTCACCGCCTTAATCACAATAATAAATAACACCTAATATAATGATTGTATTATGACGTATAATACTAATACATCTAATGTTATAGTATGTAATAATTATAATATTATGATATAACGGCGTGTCCTACGACTCCTAAGCATAAGCGTAAATTGGGGGCTTAGATATTTTGGTCATACTGTTCCGTCGCAATACGATACATCCGATGCGACGAAATACAAAATTTTTAGTTTGAAACGTAGAACACCAAGTACCTAATACATTATTTTGTATTATACAAATTTACATCCCTACCAAAAATTATAAAAACAGTAGGTACTTACCGAAAAATCTGCTGCTTTAGGGTTCAGGCGTTCAATAGTTAGATACAATTATAAATCTGAACAAATTTTCGAACACAAGTGAATACACAACACGATCAAAACACACGACTACGGTCTACGCCAAAGATAAAGTTAACAATCAGTCGGCGGACGGCGGTCCTCTAGTCAATGGAGTTATAGTTAAACGATTAACCAACAATAGTGCAGGCGATGCATTGTTAAAAGGTCGCGGGGCCACGGGTTGTTGTTGCTACGACGGATATTGGGGTTTCCCAGCTATTAAACTGATAAACAAACCACAATGTTACCACTTATTATAAATATTTATACACAGATGCAAAAATATAATCGTATTGTTTAAAATAAGAACGCACTGGACGCTTGACACAACTACGACTTTTTCTTTCCTGTTTGAATCGACAGCGCCGTGGTGACTGCTTTTGCATTACTTCCGCGTGACACAACTTCGACTAACACTGGCTGGCCCACGCTCGCAATTACAACTGGCCTGTAGTACGCCAGTATACCGCCAACGATTGGCACAAGTGCACAACTACGACTAATACTGACTGGCCCACGCTCGCGATTCATTCGCTGCCAGTTATATGCCAGTATACCGCCAACGCTTGGCACACCGACGACTAATACTGGCTGGCCAAAGCTCGCATTTACAACTTTCCTGTAGTACGCCAGTATACCGCCAACGATTGGCACAACTTCGACTAACCTGGCTAGCCCACGCTCGTAATTCATTCGCTGCCCGTTATATGCCAGTATACCGCCAACGCTTGGCACACCGACGACTAATACTGGCTGGCCAAAGATCGCATTTATAACTGGTCTGTAGTACGCCAGTATACCGCCAACGCTTGGCACAACCACGACTAATACTGGCATGTCAACGCTCGCAATTCATTCGCCGCCCGTAGTATGCCAGTATTGAATCAACTTTGACTGCCAGTACTAGTTTTCCAGTACTAGTGTAGTACTGGATAACATTTTGGCCAGTACTTTACCCGTAAGGGCCAGCCAACTGTTAGGAAGCCAGTATAGTCGCAGTACTGCGCCCTTTGTAAGCATCGGCGTAAGTCATACATTTCCGATTGGGTCTGTTTATTTTATACGAATTTTTGAAAAAGTGCCACTTGGATAACTTTTTTTAAAAGTTCCAAATCAACAGTTTATGAATCACAATAACATATATTAGTAGGTTAGTTCTAGTTATTGTAATTTATTCTGTGAATTATTTCTAAACAAATTGTCTAAAAAAAAAAAAAAAATGTAATAATAGTGTTTCAAAAATTACTTTACCTTTGTTAAAATTGCCCTAACAGGCGTTAATTAATAATAAATAATATTATAAACTTGCAATTCAATAAATTATAATAATCTGGCTAAATTACAGTTTTGTAATATCAATGAAATAACAATTTTGGTACTCTCAGATGTTTTTGTGGAGCGTAGACTGGCCAGTGTACTTCCTGTTACAATAATAATTTCACACAGCAGTACAAAATATATAGACAATTTAAATAATAATTATAACACAAATCGCATAATAGAATATAAATGACGATTCGACTATTTGATCCTTTATATTATACTGCTCACTATAATTCAGAGTACACTATTAAAAAATAGATACATAATTAATTAATAATAAAGTTATACATAATATGGGATATTTTATACATCAATATCACAATCATCAATTTTCTTCGCTCGCTATTGGGCAGAGCACACTATTCGTTTTTTACAAGTTATACAATTTAAAAAGCTTTTATTTTTCTGCACAGACGATAATAATATATTGCTCACTATAAGGCAGAGCACACTATTAAAATAAAGCCGAAACTAACACAACTCGGCTGTATATAAAAAATCCACACAGGAAAAGGTTGAGACTGTACGTACTGACTATTTGGTATGTCTGTGTGTGTGTGTGCGTGTGTGTGAGATACGGTATTCATTATTATGTTATATATATTATGTAATATACCTCGTACATTGGGTTGTCAATGCGATAGTAGGTACGCTGTGCCTTATCTTATAATTATTACTGGCTATTATAATATTTAATTTTTGTTGACGATATGCTTTGTATAGGCCTCAACATAAATCATAAAACAACATACTTAAAATAATGGTGGTCATTCAAAAAAGTAAAAAACTTAAAAAAATGTTTAAAGTATGATTTTTTAATAAAAAAGTTATTTTTTCAACAAATTGAAACTATATCAAAAATATTTTCAAAAAAATTAACACTTTTGGAGATAATGAGTGTTTTACGCAATGAATCACCCTGTATAAGATAAATTTAAGTTTTTTCTGGTTACATAATACGTGTAACTGTATACATGCCTCTTTTTAGTATTCTGTTTCAGTTATGAATTATGAGATGTGTTTTTTCATTGTACTATACTATTATAAAAGTAAGTACCTAGTAGTACTATAATAATACAATCGATGTACAAAAAAAGGGTGCCAAACATTTCACTCCATAAGCAAAAACAATAACTTTTTTACGTATAAGGATAAAAATGGGAAGTGTAACAGTGTTTTAAATGTGTGCGATATCGTAGAACTTGTTTGGTATTGGGTATTTCAAATAAAGGTAACTGGCTTTTGGGTCGATAGGCCAAATACATCGAAATCCGGTTGCCAGCATCACGTGACGCTGGCACCAGGAAATCGATTTTTGATTTTACGGGTGACTAGGGGGTGTACAAATTTTGGAATTGTGGTTACAAATTTGTACAAATCGTATAACAATTACTGATGTGGTTTTTGAGTTGAATTTAAAACTTGCGGGTGCCAGCGTGACACGCCTGGTCGTGATGGAACGTGTATGTGGTTCTGTGGCGGCGCGAATGTTCGCCGCCGGATTTACGCGAATGGCGATCGCGGTGGGGCAGTGTGCTCCGAAAATGAGGGCTACCACGTCTTGTGTTTCAGCGCTGGCCGATCTCGGCCGCGGATGGGCCACCCACGCAGTCTGTACCGTACCCTATAGTCGGCCTCTGACACAAACTCTGCCGCCGCCCCCTCTCTTGCCGTATACCGCGCAAATATATTACGTACCAATATAATACAATATTATGTTACCGTTGTGACGACCCATGACATTTATTTATGTACCAACTTAGTGTCATCAGTTACCGCGGTATCACAACAATTATTAACCATACGTTTATATACTTCGAATCATTTTCAGCTGCGCCGGTAAAAGCTTGCCCCCATGCGGCAACAAGTGGATACCTTATTTTTCAAAAAAAATTTTACGTATAGAAATGAAAATTTGAACTAGTAGCTTTAGAGAAATTTAAATTGTGTACAAAGGATAATAGGTCTATTATAATTTATTTTGAATATATGATAGCTATGGACTATGGTAATAACTAATAGTACAAATAAAAGTGTGTATACCTTGGTTCAATATAATCTTGTAGGTTCCAATATCGCCAATATTACACTACTTGACTATGATAACTCTGTATTATTATAAATAAATAGGCGTTATTATTATGTTTAATTGGTTTTTTGGGTGCTACAACTATTATAATATATTTAGATTTTTGTAATTATGTAGAATATGCCCTAAATCAGTTAGGGAACGTAGTGAAAAAGTAGTGAATTTACTTAGGTCCTAGAATAATAGTTATACATCCTCTGAATTTTAGTGAAATTACGCGCCTGTACTTGTGATATAATAGTATAATACGTATAACCGTGTAAGTAGGAGTAGGAAATTTAACATTACGATAAAACATTTATCTTAGATTTTATAATATTATCGTGTTATTAAATTTGGCAACATTGTACAATCGTGCGACAGTATTTGAACTCGCCCATCGTATTCTAAACTCCTATAAACCATGTGTCGAGTATTCCGAAGTAAATAATAATAATAATATTATAACAAAAAGACTGCGCACTGACCATATTATACCTACGTGAAGAATTTACCCCCTAAACTCCGCGCCCGCCGTTGTGGTGAGCATTGACAGCTGCAGGTTATAATATATTTTATACTTATGGAGGATATCTTTCAATTTTCAAAATATTTCGAACCTCGCCTTTGTTACACACCCATACACAACCACACACACAACACACACCACACAAAACCCCACTAACACACACTCACTATCTAAGGCTTAAATCGTGGTTTTTTTTTCGTAAAAATACGTAGGTTGAATACGTTTGGGGCAAAAACGTTAGATGTTTTTTTTTACCAATGCCTGTTGTCTGTTCGGACTACACCCATAAAAAACATACAATAATGCACAGTGTAGCATATATACTTCGAGTATAGAGGTGTATAAATAAATAAAAATGTCACTGGCCTATATTATTGTTGACTACGAATCAGACAATATTATTGAAGTCATGAATTCAAAAAAAAAAAAAAAATAAACGCACATAATAATAGTATATTATGTTTTACGTTTTATAGATACAATTCGAATTACCTACTTAGTGGAAAATATTAAATTTATATATTATTATGTCCTAATCTGTTAAATATGCTATTATAGAAAACCCGAAATATTAAATATATTTTAGTAAATAATAATTTATAATAATAGTAAGTTATGATATTGCATATTCACAGAAAATATTATATAACTATATTATAGACGGAAATGTTATAGGGGTAACAGCCTCATAAATAAAAGAAAATTATAACAATTTACTCAGTACCTAATCATACACGACATAGTATAACCTAACCTATAGCTAATCATTATTAACAGTATTACTTATTATATTTGTATTTATTTATGGAATCACAGTGATAACTTGGCCCATCGGTGTAAATAATAGTATAATACCCGTAATAGCGTGGTAGATCATCGTATTTACATATTTCTAAATTCTTACTATTAATTGCATACAATTTGATATTATATATTCTAATAAATAATAAGGAATTTGATTTTTATAATATTTAGTATAGTTGTGGACCATTGAAGTCAACAAAAACATAACAAGTATTTTATTATTTTGTTGGATATCATCATTGAGTAAAGTATAATTATAGGTATACAAATATAAGTACCTACAGTAACTTATTTTATTACAAAAATGTATTTAAAAATAAAAGTTTGTAAGTGGATGACGCTCTGCTGTACATTAGGTTACAAGTGGGTATAATGGATTGTAATAAACTTGAATTCAATGATATAATATCATTGTATAAGAAAAACGATTCTGAGCGGAGACGACTTATCAGTCTGGATTTTTTAAATTTTTATTATTTATTATAGTCTTTGAGTTGAATTAATATTATGTTATAATTTTTTATTCGTTGCTACGGTGATAAACAAATCGTTAGAAATTAAAATCCCATTTTAAGCGGTTTTTTGTAATTTGTCGGTAGTTTTTCCCGTGGCATTCGATAACTTCTTAAAATGACCTCTCTAAAGTACTATCTTGATCCAATTTGATAAAAGATAAGGTACTGTATTATATTGAAATCGAAGCACTAATTTTGGTAAAAATTTTATATACAGGATACAAAAAAGAAACACCATTGTAAAACCATAAGCTTCCTCGGTCCACTCAGAATCTAATAACTAGTAGACTTAAGAAGAATCTAGTATTACATTTTCAAATCTTAGATTTAATTAGAAAATTTGTTTTGAATTTCTAACTCAAAATAATTTGCGAATTTTCGTCTTTTTTACATGTTTTATCGATATTTGAACTTTAAATGCTTATAAAAAAAATAGTGACTACGGATTTTTAATACTTTTTATTTGACTTTGAAATAATATATTAGGAGACTTCTATTAAATTGTCATGCTTTTACCAAATAAATAAAATTGTATTGTCATTCATAGAAATAAAAACTAAAAAAATTGATACTGAAAATGTATGTAAACAGTTCAAAA